AAATCCTCTGAGAACGAGGAACCTCTACACAATGTGTTGTAACCTTGTTTGCCATCTTTATTTGTTGGCTGCTCTTCTGCCAAATCTGTTAAGTAACACTTGAGTAGTGTGCAAGAAGGATCCAACTTGTTGAAATATATAAAGTCCACATCTTCTGCTAATACTTAGAATAAGATCAAACAGTTAAAATGTCTACTCACTTTGTCCTCTTCTCTCATCACAGGCTGACAGAGAAGGTTACATTGCAATTGTTATGCCAAAACCTGCAGATTGGCTAAAATTCAAGAATTTGGCGTTGACCCTTGAAGACTACAAAAAGCTGAGAGATTATTGATTTATTTGAAGGTTAAACAATTTGCAGCAACAACACATCTCCTGGCTAGATAAGCATAGCCTGTGAAGACCACAACAGATTCTCAAGCTTCTGACATAAGCATATCATATAGAAAGAAGGCATCGATTTGTTAATGTGTGCTGACCTTCTGATCTTTAAGCCTAGTTGATGTGTGGCTTAGATATAAATATTTGAGGCCTGTTATTACCTTCAAAAAATTGAATGGCTGATACCTTTTATGTTATTACTTATTCCTAAGCCTGTCTCTTAGTTGTGCAGAGCTATATCATTTTGAACATTGTATTGCTATTAATGGAACTATGGAAGTGTTGCAGCACTCATAACTTCACTCGTATTAAGAATTCACAATAGTTGGCTTGATTCTTATAATAACGAGAGAACATCATTAACAGGCACCTTCTGCAACTGTAAGGATATATCCATGCTAGGTAAACAGCAGGTAGATACCCCTTGCCCCTCGAAAGTATTCTTTTGGATAGAAGTTAGTTAACTCGACTCAAGTCTAAAGTATTACACACCCATGCAAGCCAACACATCCATCTGACAAGGGTTGAACCAACATATCCATCCGACTTGTAAGGTTCCAATGTGCATCCAAATCATCGATCTGCTCATGTGCGTGTTAACTAACACTGTAGTTCGCAGATATTAGATTTGCATACAAACTCAAAGATTACTAATTCGTTAAACTTCTACTAGGAAGCACATTATTCCCATTGTATCTGGAGATAACTTCATATGTTGTAAGTGTAAATGTGAATAAGCCTATAAATATAATTCAAGTGCCCTACTGTCTTAAATTTTATAGTCTCTAGTCGCAGAATATTTTCCAGTTGATAACCACCACCATCAGCAATATTCCTGTTAACAGCAATTTAGACAAAACAACGAGAAGCAACAGTTCATGACAATTAATGTCACTTTGGCTCATAAACCAAAAGAAAGACAAAATGCAATTAGCAATACTCTCTCATCTACAACATAACAAACCCACATCCAAGTGTATTCAAGTTCATAAACCATGTCTACCACTGACGAGCCTTGCAAAGTTATGCCATTATCTTTGCAGACCTCTGGTAGAGACTGTCGACAACCTTACCCATGTTGGTAATCGTCTCCAATGTCGCGGGGAAGATTGCATCTGCCTTGGGGTCATCAAAGATAATGAGGCAACCAGCACCTTGATCTAAGGTTCCAGCAAATTTCTTGTCCAAAATCATCTGAGATAACTTCTTCTCCACATGTTTGACAGGGAGTTCAATCAGCTCGGCGATATAATCAATCTCAACCCTAGAGAAAGGCTCAATCAACCTGCAGAGGTTCTGCTCCAAAAGAGTGTCATAAAGAGAAGAAAGGTGTCTGTGCACAATGGGATCTTCCTCTAACTGGGCCTTATAATCTCGAAGAGCTGTCTCAAAGAACTTCAATGATCTCTTGGAATGCGCATCTGCTACAGCTTTCATCGCATCCAGTTCTACACCAACATACTGTAAGCCTGCCTTGGAGGATATTATCCCTGCTACATCATCAGCCTGATTTACCATGATCTTGCACAACAACATGTATTTGAGACTGAATATCGCCCTGGGATCCTCAAGAGCATTGAATGCTTCAAATGCTTCAAAGAAATAGCTGTAGGCAGTCTTATAATCTTTCTCTTCTGCATGCAGAATCCCACTCTGAAGATCTATGGTGCCCTGCTGAGCCGGTGGTACATATATAGCATTCGCAGCTGTTCTCGCAGCGGTAAGTGCAGCCTTTGCCTTGGGTAGGTTTCTCAAAGAGAAATGAAGTTTGCTCTCCAACAGGTCTATGTCCACAAGAAGAAGCTTGTCATCTAATCTTCTCACCTCCTTGACTAGCCCTGAAAGAATGGTCAAAGCTTCTGAGTAATCCTTGTTTTCCATCAAAAGAGCTGCAAGCCTTGCCTCGACTCGCTGTCTTAGGAATGTACGCTTCTCTGCACGAGTCCACTGCACCATTTCTCTGCAGAGTGATATCTGGAGATCAGAAGTTCCAGGAATCTTGGCTACGGCATCAATGATCCCCCGCACGATCTTCGCAGTTTTAGCTTTGGGAATTAAGGAAAAAAAGGGTCTCAACAGAGTCAAAAGGCTTCTAAGCTCCTCACCTCTTTTCTCTTGTCTCAGAAGGTCTGAGAGATTAGAGATGGCCTGTTCTTTTATGCGTAATGCTTCCGATGAAGATGAAGGGTTTTCAAGTACACTATAAAGTATAGAGATGGATTCAGATGCGTTCTTGGCTTCTTGAGCCTGTACCAATGAATCTGTTGTTGCCGGGAGAGGCGACATGCTTACTAAGTTGAATGCTGAAATCCTGCAAATAAAAATAATGAAAAGTTCCCTTTTTACTGACATTATTGCAAACATAAAATCTAAGAATTGAACCATATACAAAACAATCAAACGTTCAATGTAACCACCCCTTAATTGCACAAAACTCATAAGCTGCAAGAACCAGAAAACCTTAACCACCTCACACGGAAATGTTGTCATAATTCGAAGAAATGGAAATAGTAATAACCAGCTTGTCAAGAAGCCGAGGTTATGGCATTATGCAAATTCCGTGTCAGGGATAATAAGAAACAGAATTGTAGGCCAAGTTTCCTATCATATAAAGAGTACAGAACGTGTAGTTATAATGGATATAACTAGCTTTGCAAGCATTAAATGTTTTGCTTTTTCGATATAAGGGGAAATAAATTTCAGTTGATAAAAGAACATGGTTATAATAAAAAGTACAGGACAAAAGAGGATAGCAAGTAATCATTGAACAATAGTTATCATATGAAAAATGAATTATTATATAGCTTCAAATATCCTCATAAATACAGGATCTGTCAATAAAAGGGATAGAGGAATGACCGCAAAAGATAGAACAGTCATTGACTTCTAAATCGTAACTTTTCATGAGATGTAATAAAATGGATCAACATCCAAGCTCCAATTAAACAAGAGGTAATTCGCTACCTCAACCATCGAAATTGAAATGTCACCCATGTAAAGCAGCACGATTTCACTAGTAGGATACTTACTTTGAAAACTTTCTAATAAACTCTCATAGTCTCATTTGCAACTTCATGTGTGTAGGTCCTTTATGAGCTTTCCTACTCATTAAAAGCTCACCTAAAACCTACAAATCACTATACGTCCATATTTACAGCAGGTGCACAACTTGAGTGCCCAGCCAAGAATCAGGACAGTTCCTCCTACCAATGCATGTTCATTACTGAGTGATCCTAAAATTTTTATGGACTTCAAACCACAATGATTTAGATCTCTGTATTTTCTCCATGATTTAGTGAAAACATACAAAATAATTATCATGTAACAAGAAACAACTTTACACAACTTCGGTATCAATTATACACATATACACCAATAACCAAAAAAGTAGAGGGATGAAAAAACGCACAAGGTAGAACATTAATTGCCTTCTAAAATAGTAATTTCTAAAGAGAGCCAAAATAGCTCCAGACCCAATTTTAAGTTTCAATAAAACTCAGTACTAGAGCTTAAACCTTATGAACGTCATCATTAATTTTCTAAGAATAAGAACAACTATCAACATTACGTACTATCCATATTGCTCCACACCGTACAAACAAAATCCAATTATTCGAATGTATACACAGATTACATTAGATACAAACTTTATTCACGGAAACAACATGGTATTAAATTAGGGTCTAATATGAAACCAATCACACAGGAAAATGAGGAAACAGCACTGATTATTTGTGAAAAAAGAGAGTAAATACGTTAATTTGATTTCATATCTCTGATATAAAAGTAGCAGCTAGTTTACTATATTACATCCAAGGTGTGACGATAATAAAATGAAGACTGTTATATATATTTCAACAACTAATAATTCCAATTATCACAAAATAGTGTATTAACAAAACTACATAACAAACCAATTGCAATAATGTGTACTAATTTGTATATTTCTCAATTCTCACTACAGTTAAAGAACACAATACTTACTGTTTTTTATGAAAATCGCAAAGAAATTATAAACCCTAGATCTAATCATGAGATTTCAATCACGAATATAAACAATAAATTAATTAAATCGTTCTATAAACCCTAATAATCGTGATATAGGAGAAAAAGAAGAGGAATGGAGAACCCTAAATTCCTAATTAGATGGAATGCTTACCTTTACTTGATTGCTTCAAGGTTTGGAGTGTTGAAGAAGAAGACGACTTGAAGTCTGGAAGTGGGAAAAAGGTGATATAGCCTACAGTATGTAACTTGCTATCAAAGTTAAGATTGAAATCCAAAGCCTATTTCAATAAAATAGCCCATCTTTCACCTATCAAATAGCCCATCTTAGTACCTGGGCTGTCAAGTGGTTCATCCAGAATCCAGATGGTGGTCTGCTCCACAGCAATTGAAGACGCTGGTGATCGAGACTGACAGCAAGAACTGTGCAGACAATCTCAAAGGTCTTGACGTCAATATTCACTGGTCTACTACTACTATCCTAGACCAAGTGAAAAACTTATATATGTTATTTGATTCAGTAGTTTTTACTTTCTGCAATAGATCAGGGAATGTGTGCGCTCACCTTTTGGCTGCCCATGCAAAGGTTAGCAACACCAATCCCTGCATTTACTACAGTCTAGCTTACTGGTCAGCTAGAGAAAGACTTTGTTCTGTAATATGGTGAACCCTTAGCCTCTGTCAATAAATTTCTGATTACTAAAAAAAAAAAAAAATGTTGGTGTCTGAGAACCTTTTATGCAAATAACACAGGTGGATTACTCTGTAATATTGCTCGCTTTCTGCAGCAAGTTCGAGGAAGAGGCACACGACAAAACAAAAAGAATGTGCATAACTGTAAGTTTTATGTCTAAACCTCTGGCCATTCTTTTACAACTGATGATCATGATAATCCATCTATAACATCTACATCACTTTACAAACCCAACTTCTAGGGTCTTAAATAAGTGGAAGAGCCCACCATTGAAATTTGTTGCTGCCTCCTTGCTCTCTTCTTTTTCTCCCTCTCCTTGTTTTCCCTTTCCATCTCTGCTTGTTCCTTTCTCAAATTCTCCATTTCTTCCTCCATTGCCGTTGTTTCTTCCTTTTGCTTTCTCTTGTGCTCTAGCATTGATGTATCTGAATCCTTAACTGAAAAGAACATGGGGCCAAGCTCAGCTAGCCACTGAGGCTCTACAGCAGTTGCACACTGCATATATTCCTTTGATGTCAAGATCAACTCGTGATATACCACATAGTCTGGGGTGTAACCTAGACCAAAGAGGGCACTGCTTGGGTGCAGATGGCAGGGAATCCCATTCCGGCAATTTACATATTCCCCTATTCCTTTCAACCGTGGAGAATTATGAAAGTAAGCAGAACAGATGGCCTTCCTCACGACATCCCAGTCAGTTTCCCCACATGTTGTAAGTGGGATTTTCAGTGTCTTTAATATATCGAGTAGCTGGGACCTTACCTCTCTTGCTTTCCTCAAACCTTTCACATGTAAAAAGTGGTCATTGCACCAGTCTCCACGATACTGGTTTGCTTTCCACTGCTGGTATACATTGAGCAGTGTCAGGTGGTCTGACTCTGGAACAAAGAACTTCTCTCTTGCTGCATCACTCTCCTCTGCTCTATCCTTAGGCCGGAAGAACACCGAAGGAACTGAAAGCATAGACACAATCGTCAGAACCTCATTAACACACTCAAGTTGCTGCCCCATCAGAAGCATCTTTGCAAGTGGTGGATCGAGTGGGAATTCTACCATTTTCCACCCAAGTTCCGTTGGGCCCCCCACATTGTTCAACGCACTACACCCACAGCTGGTACATTGAATTAAGGATGTTATCCTGTGGAGGTGGGTCCATAAAATCAAAATCCAACAGGTTCTCAATTTTCAAGGACTTCAGCAAAAGAACTACATAGCCCAGATTGGTCCTCTGAATTTCTGGCACAGGACTGGGCAGCATTTCATTTTGGTAAGCACTGTCTGTATAAAGCCTATAACACGTTCCTGGTCCAGTTCTTCCTGCACGGCCAGCCCTCTGATCAGCAGCAGCTCGACTGACTGGAAACACTTGAAGAGCATCCATACCCATTCTGGGATTGTACACTTTCATCTTACCATATCCAGTATCAATAACATATAGGATGCCACCTACAGTCAATGAAGTCTCGGCAATGTTAGTAGCAACGATACACTTGCGCGCACCTTCTTCAGCTTTCTGGAAGATCTTGGCTTGCAAGTCAGCTGGGAGCTGAGAGTATATTGGGAGTATTAAAAGTTTAGAGACCCCCTTCTTGGTATTTGATACAAGTTGTTCTATACGCTCTGCAAGGGCATAGCAGGTTGCTTCAATTTCATCTTGACCAGTCATGAAGATGAGAATGTCACCAGGAGGGCTAGTGATGTGAATAGTCATAGCCTGTTTCACTGCAGCTTCAACATAATCTTCACAAGGAGATTTACTGTACAAGATGTTCACTGGGAACGTCCAGCCAGGGATGTGAAATATTGGCACACTGCAACAAAACAACAAAGCTTTTAGATGGTTGTTGATGTACAAAAATCGGAAGAGTTTGGTACAATATAATGTCTTACCTTCCAAAAATGTTGGAAAACTTTTGCGCATTTAAGGTTGCCGATGGCACGATTAGCTTAAAATCACGTCGCTGTGCAACAACTTTTTTCAGAATTCCAAATAGGACATCTGTGCATAGTGACCGCTCATGTGCTTCGTCCATGACAATGACACTGTATCATATAGAGTAGTTGTCAAAAATAAACACAAAGAAAGTAATGAGTATACTTGATTCATAAATTTTAATGGCCTAAAAGCGTAAAAAACACCATACCGATATTTGTCAAGATCTGAGTCCTTCAATGTCTCGTGCAGAAGTACTCCATCGGTCATGTACTGTAAAAAAGAGGAAAATAGACACGTTCAGCAACCGAGACAAATGAATTAAAAAAAAAAAAGGCATAAACTTACATTTCAAATTATTCTAGGTTTTGTTTTATGAGAACAAGAACATGACTAACAGCTTTCAAGCTGGCAGATATTTTTTTGCATATCTTTTGTGACAGTAACTCTGATGCAAATATTTTGGCTAAGTAAGCAAAATGGGTGGGATACAGCGAAGATGTTTCAAATTTGCACCAGCTACCCAGAGAAGCTAAGCTCTGTTACCTAATGGGTCACCCGACCCCAATCTTCTCCCTCAGCAACACTTTGAAATGAATGTACTACAAGAGCCTGTAAACTGTAGACCTCCACCCCCTCCCTCTCCCTCTTCCCCTCCCTCCTATGCTTACGACTGGGTTGCTTCACACCCCATTTCACATATATGGAAGTTCTTTGAAAGGTCAACGCCAACATATAAGATTATAATTATTGTATCGGACTCATTGCACGCAAAACGATGTATTACACTACATGGACCCGCAAGAGATTTCGGAAAATTTTCCACCATTCGAATCTCCTTATGTGAAATCTAAAATTCTTCAGAGAATGTCTAACATCAAAACACATTATGTAGTCCTTATATATAAAAGGAAGAGGTTGTCAGGAAGCATTAGAATGAAGATATTTGGTTGATTGTGATAGTACTTACGGAGCATTTCTACATCTCAGGAAGGGGTTATCAGGAAGCAATCAAAAGAGCATATTTGATAATAGAAACACAAAACGTATTTAGCTTTATCAATGTTTTTGGTCCAGTCACATCTTCAAACCGAATAGCGTAACCAACTTTATCACCTAATTCAGTTTCCATTTCTTCACTGACTCGTTTCGCAACACTCATTGCTGCCACACGCCTTGGTTGAGTGCACCCAATAATGCCATTTGTTGTGTATCCATCCTCGAGCAGATACTGTTAAAGCTAAACCAAATTAGATGTCTTCTAATTATACACAAAATACAAATCCACTAAACTACAGTCTTAAACTAATGACGATATAGAGAATAACAAACCTGTGTGAGTTGGGTCGTCTTTCCCGAACCAGTTTCTCCAACTACAACAATCACCTGATTTTCGCGAATAACCTGATGTTGGTAATGACAGAATTAACACATCAGTATGTTAATTGTTAACTCAAGGGAAAACATTAATCACAATACCAAAACATAATACAAACATCAAAAGTGGCATCAGAATGTAACTCAAATACCCAATGCCTCTAAG